AGAAGTGTCACAACAGAATTTTTAAAGAACCACGTAGAACTCATCCAACTGAAAAATACCAACACCAAAATTAAGAACACAATAAATTGGTGAAAAAGCAAATAGGCACTGCTGAAGAGAGAATGAGTGAACTACAGGGTACATAGGAAGACATTGTCTTGTCCTTAATACAGCATGGAAGACAAAAGAAAAGAAAATACAGAATTAGACTAGAAACATAGAGGATATATAGAGAGATCTAAGATGCGTTTAATTGGAGTCCCAGAGGGTAAGGAGAAAGAAAGGGGGTAGAGGCAATATTTAAAGAGAAAGTGATGAATAATTTTCCAAAAATGATGAAATACACGAATTCACACGTTGCAGAAGCCAAATAAGGCCCAAGCAAGCTAAAGAAAGACAATGGGAATAAATACTGAAGTGTCATGACGTCTGCAACTTACGTTCAGAAGGTCAGGAAGAAAGTTTTTATATTAAAGAGATAGAGCAAATGAGGCAAAATGGTAATAACTGGCAGATCTAGGTGAAGGTGTATGGGGGTACACTGTACTATCCTTCTAATATTTCTGTGGGTTGGAAATGCTCCAAAATAAAAAGTTTCGGGGAAGTGTCTATACAGGGAGATCCTCCAAGAACTCAAATTCTTTTAAAAAAAAAGATTTAGGACATGTCACCTGGTAAAGAACCCTGAACAGGCAAGATGCAGGTTGAAGGCAAAGGTATCAAGAACTGGGTAGTGAAGAAGGGAGGTTATTCACACCAGACAAAGCTTTGTTGTAGAAAAGTCTACATATATTTCTTTTCTTGCTGTGTCCAGTGTATTTTTTATGTATTTTAATTCTCCCATTCTTCTCTCTTTCTCTCCAGTCTTGTGTATAGGGTATATTGGTGGTAATTAACTTTACAGTGTAGTTTGTAGTTTGCAAAATACTGAGATGGGCTGGTAAAGGAGTTGCAGGGGGAATGGACATCATCTCGAAATACTGGACTTGGAAGTGGATGTGATCATTGACAAGATTGTAAGTTGTCTCCCTTTGGGAAATGAGTGAATGTATTTTGGACAGAAAGAGGCATAGATGTATTATACCAGGGATGATATATATATACATATATATATAATATAAAATAATACCTATGATATATATATATATATATTTTTTTTACAATACACGGGCCTCTCACTGTTGTGGCCTCTCCTGTTGCAGAGCACAGGCCCCGGATGCACAGGCCCAGCGGCCATGGCTCACGGGCCCAGCCGCTCCGCGGCACGCGGGATCCTCCCGGACCCGGGCACAAACCCGCGTCCCTTGCATCGGCAGGCGGACTCTCAACCACTGCGCCACCATGGAAGCCCTACCTATGATATTTTTAAGAGTAAATACTAGAATAAGGACATGCGTGGACATTGGCCATCTAAAACAGTGGACTGTAGGGATATTTGTCTTTTATTTTTGGCTGTGCCGTGAGGCTTGCGGGATCTTAGCTCTCTGACCAGGGATTGAACCTGGGCCCACAGCAGTGAAAGCGCAGAGTCCTAACCACTGGACCACCAGGGAATTCCCGTGGCATATTTGTCATTTTTTTGGCTGTCCAACGACAACTTGTCCTCCTATTTGTGGGAAGTGGTATCTGTAGTATATGTATAGCACTATCCAAGTTGAAGAGGGAAAGTCCTTCACTCCGCCTCTGGCTACCTTGGTGAAGCAGGTATCCCAAGTCTAGTCTGATGCTTCAGTTTCGCCATCTAGTCCCCTTTCTCCACCCATACATGGCAACCCTGAGTGGTTTCCCAGGGTCCTTGGTCTGATGCCTGATGCAAGGTAGGTGGGGTAAGCACTGCCAGGGGAACTGGGACAAGAATGGCCCTCTTTCATGGCCACTCTGTCCTCACCTCAGGTCCAAGCTGAGGTGCCTTCTTCCAGCTGGGTGAAGCTATAAGGAAGGTGTCCTTTTTCTTGTCTTCCCCTTCTGGGAAGATGGGGACAAGCCACTCAAGCACTGAGGGGGAACCTGCAGGTAAGATGGTGCTGGCCTTCAGCTCCCCACCCTTTGCCTTCACACTTTACCAGGGTCTGAAACTGAACCCCTGTTGGGGGAGAGGGTTGTAGTTGAGTACAGGCTTTGGGGTCTCAGAGTGGGTTCAAATCCCACTACAGATAGTACATCTCCTATTCTGTAAATGATGGCAAAAATTTCAGATTAAAAACAAAAAGTTTGGTGGGAACGTAAAATGGTGCAGCTCCTATGGAAAATGGCAATTCCTTAAGAAATTAAATATAGAATGATCATGTGATCCAGCAATCCCACTTCAGTGTACACACCCAAAAGAAATGAAAGCAGGGACTCAAACAGATATGGGTACACCCACGTTCAGAGCAGCATTGTTCACAATTGCCAAAGACAGAAGCAACCCAGGTATCCATTGATGGATGGATGGATAAACAAAATGTGGAATATACAGACAATGGAATATTCAACTTTTTAAAAAATATTTATTTATTTATTTTTGGCTGCGTTGGGTCTTTGTTGCTGCACGCGGGCTTTCTGTAGGTGTGGTGAGCGGGGGCTACTCTTCGCTGTGGTGCGTGGGCTTCTCATTGCGGTGGCTTCTCTTGTTGCGGAGCACAGGCTCTAGGCGCGTGGGCTTCAGTAGTTGTGGCTTTCGGGCTCTAGAACACAGGCTCAGTAGTTGTGGTGCACGGGCTTAGTTGCTCCACAGCATGTGGGATCTTCGACTAGGGATCAAACCCATGTCCCCTGCATTGGCAGGTGGATGCTTAACCACTGTGCCACCAGGGAAGTCCTCAGCTTTTAAAAAGAATGAAATTTCAACACATGCTACAGCACGGATAAACCTTGAAGACGTCATGCTAAGTGAAATAAGGCAGTCACAAAAAGACAAACAGGGAATTCCCTGGTGGTCCAGTGGTCAGGACTCGGTGCTTTCACTGCCCTGGTTCAATTCCTGGTCTGGAAACTAAGATCCCATAAGCTGTGAGGCTCGGCCAAAAGAATAAAACAAACCCCCAAACTAAATACCGTATGATTCCACTTGTATTAGGTCCCTAGAGTAGTCAAATTCATAGACACATAAAGTAGAAGGGTGGCTGCCAGGGGCCGGGGCAGGGGGTGTGGGGAAATGTGGAGTTAGTGTTTAATGGGTACAGAATTTCACTTCGGGAAGATGAAAAAAGTTCTGGAAATGGATGGTGGTGATGGTTGCAGAATAATGTGAATGTACTTAATGCCACTGAACCATATGCTTAAAAATGGTTGAAATGGGGCTTCCCTGGTGGCGCAGTGGTTGAGAGTCTGCCTGCCGATGCAGGGGACACGGGTTCGTGCCCCGGTCCGGGAAGATCCCACATGCCGCGGAGTGGCTGGGCCCGTGAGCCATGGCCGCTGAGCCTGCGCGTCCGGAGCCTGTGCTCCGCAACGGGAGAGGCCACAACAGTGAGAGGCCCGCGTACCGCAAAAACAAAACCAAAACCAAAAATGGCTGAAATGAGGGCTTGCCTGGTGGCGCAGTGGTTAAGAACCCGCCTGCCAATGCAGGGGACATGGGTTCGAGCCCTGATCCGGGAAGATCCCACCTGCTGTGGAGCAACTAAGCCCGTGCGCTCTAGAGCCCGTGCTATGCAACAAGAGAAGCCACGGCAATGAGAAGCCCGCGCACTGCAATGAGGAGTAGCCCCCGCTCACCGCAACTAGAGAAAGCCTGCATGCAGCAACAGAGACCCAACACAGCCAAAAATAAATAAATTTTAAAAAAGGTTAAAATGGTAAATTTCTTGTTATATATGTATTACCAGAATAAAAAAAAAGGCATCACCTTTTTAAAAAAAAATCAGTGTAGTCAAGAAAAATGCCTCCTGGTCTAATTCTGTCTCGGCCTCTGATATGAAATCTCTGCCTAGAGGTAGAAAAGGCTGGGGGTGAGGTGGGAGTCTGAGATTTGTAGGGTCAGAAGGATGGAAAAGAACCAGCAGAGAATGGAAGAGGGGTCACCGAGGCCGGCATTGGCCTCCAGCTGCCCACGTGGTCTGTACCAGTCAGACACCAAGCCCCACGCCAGCACCTTCCCCTCCTCTCCCTCCTCACTGTCCCCACGCTGAGCCAGCCCTCTTCCTGCAACGGCTTCTTCCTCTTTGATCTTTGGTCCGTCTCCCCACTCGGCCTGGCTGGTGACCCTTCTAAAACCTGGGTCTGACCCCCCGTCTCTCCTGCTTAAACTCTTTCGGCAGCTCGCATGGCCTCAGCTTCAGCCTTGCAAGGAGAACTGTTCTAAGCCGACTCCGACCCAGTTTTCCAGCTTCACGGTCCTGCCTTTCCCGAGCCCCGGGTTCCTTTATGTCTCACACCATAACCATGTTTGAATACCTTCCATGTGCACGCTAATAAACGTTATCCCTGACTTGCTTAACAACCCTGCAAGGTTGTTAGGTAGGTATCACCGACTGCATTTTAGAGATGGGGAAACTGAGCCTCACAAGGCTAGGTTGGACTCAGAGACCTTTGCTCTTTTTGCCACGTGTCAGATCCTCTCTGTCACTCACTCTGGTGCCTCAGTGCCTTTGCTTATGCATGAGCATGAGTCCGTCAGCCCTCAGGTTTGGCTCAGAAACACGACACCACCGCACCCTTGCCCCAGACATTACCGATCTTGGTGTTTTCTTCATAGTGTTCAACACTATTGGAAATTTACTTGCTTACAGATTTGAATTCCTTCCCCCCACTAGACTTGGAGCATGTCTGATGCACTGCAGGTGCTCAGTCGGCTGCGCTGATGAGATGGGTCTGCTGACGAGCAAGGCTGATCCCTCCCAGCCCCAGGCCCAGCCTGCCCTCCCGTGTGCTCCCTCAGTCCTCTGGCGCCCGAGAAGCTGTTGGTCCCACTGCACCAGGCCTGTGGTTATTCCTTGCCTCTTGGGCCTCCCTGACAAACCCCAGCCCCCGGGGCCAGCTCCTGGCCTACTCCGGTGCTTGGCCGCCTCTTGTCAAACACCCGAATTGATGACAGAATATCCCCAATTGGCACTTGGTTCGTTCCTGCTTCATTCTCACTATGGGCTAGGAATGGGGTACCGTCTTCCAGAAGGCAGGCCCCGCCCTGTTCAAGGCCCTCTGGGGCTGGGGTCTCCCCCAGGGTCAGCCCACAGCTCCCGGAGCCTGGCCTGACTTCAAGAGGAGCCTGGGGGCAGGGTACGGCGAACACAAGTACCAGCAGCAGCAAGTTTTATTGCAACCAGAATCCCCTGGTCATGTAGGAGGGGTGGGGCGGAGGGACATCGGTCACTGATGCCATATTCCCAGTTAAGGACACAGAGCCAAAGACCCAGCTGGCTGTGCCCCACGTCTTCCCTCACCCTCCGCCCCCCAGCAGGGCGCTGATGGGGCTGAGGCAGAGGGAGGTGAAAAGCAGATTCCATTTCAGCAGAGCCTCAGTCCAAGGGGTCTGAGGAGCAGTTGGCGGTGGGGGTCTGGGTGGCCCAGGAGGCACAGGGCACTTTGGGCTGACGTCTACACATATCCTCGTGGGGCTTAGGGGAAAGCAAAGAGGCCACTCTGTCCACGGGGAGAGGGTGGGAGGGAGGGGAAACAAAGGCTCAAAGTGAGAAATCACTGGCCAGCAACCACGCAGGTGGGACCTTGGGACCCCGACTTCTAGATCAGGGCCGTGTCCACCAACTGTCTCTGGCATTCACCCCAGCCTGGCCATTCTTGGGTCCTATGTGGGGATCTGCAGGTGGCCCAGGTCCTGGTCCATGATCTGGAGAACGTCGTCCAGGATGGAAGGCCCCAGGTCTACGTGCAGGGAGAGCAGGGAGCTGGCGTGGGACAGGAAGGGCTCCTCAGCCCCAGACTCGGAGCTCAGCCCACTGTGGGTCGAGGCAGCCTCTGGAATCCGCCAGACGTCCATACTCCCTGCCTCCTGCGGGGAGGGCTGTGGGGAAGGCTGAGGGCTCTCCAGGTGCAGGCGAGGGGGTTTGGGTGGGGCCTGGGCGGCAGGCAAGGTGAGTGCCTGGGGCCCGCCGATGACCGGGAGGGAGATGGCGTTCTTGAGCAGAGGGGACGGCCCGTCGGGGAGCTCCCGCCCGCACAGGGTGGCCGTGCGCGTGAATTGGAAGGGCAGCTCAAAGCCACCATCCTCCTCGGCCTCCTCGACTGCCGTCCCCGGCAGGAGGTGGAACTTGCCTTGCAGGAAGGAGATGTCACCGAACATGTCACTGCCACCACCACTGCCGATGTGAATGGTGTGGCGGAAGTCCCCCAGTGGTGGGCTGATCATGTCTGAGGACAGCAGGTCCCGCAGCTTCTCCTTCTTGCCTTTGCGGCTGCCGCGCTTCAGATAGATGGGCACCTTGGTGGACATCGCGACCTCACCACCCAGGCCTGGACAGTCTGCTCGCAGGACCACGGCCTCCGCTGCCTCCTCTCACCACCCTCAAGAAACACCTAGAGGGAGGTTTCCAGACACCAAACACGTGCCAAGTGCGTGTGGTGTGACCAAAGTTGGCCCAAGGAATTTGGAAAAGAAAGATAAACTATCGATGAAGTCAGAGGATCGAGATAACAAAAATCACTTTCTCCCAAGAGGGTTGAAAACTCGTCTGAAAACTGGAAGCAGGAAGGTGCAGAGCTCGTAGGCAGTGATGCTCTCTGGGCTCGTCCTCGCCAGCTTCTCTCTGGTCCAGGGCTGAGGAACTCAAACATCAAGGGTACAAGTCAGGGACAGAAGGACAAAGGCAGAGGCATCCATCTTGTTTCTGGGTCTCTTTCATCAGCCCTGGGAGCCCACGTGGCGCTGCACTCCTGTGGGGAGCCCTCCTGGCCGAAGCCTGTGTTCACTCACGGACTTGTTGCACCTCAAGGCCTGGATCAGCAGCGCCAAGCCCCTCCCTCTGTGAGTGGGGAACCTAAGCGACAGGACTGAAGTCACATACCTGCCCTGGCTCTGATCTCTTGCCCTGAGTCCCCAGCTCTGCTCATCACTGTGGTCTGCATTCAACTGTGCCCAAGACATGACCAGTGCCAAATTGTCTGGGGGTCTCACAGATTTGTCTCAGCTCCCGACTTGACGGAGGATTGAGATTTTGTAACCTCTGTCTCATCCTCCCAGGCCTGGCACAGCAGGAGTTCAGCCAACAGTGCATAACGACCGACACCTCCCATTTGGCCCGATCACATCCTACTGGAAGTGAGGTCACCTGCTCAGAGCTTCCCTTTTCTCCTCCTCTCCGTTAGGAGTTCCTTATGGGCAGGGCCTAAGCTTAATGTAGCTTCTGCCCCTCCTCCCTGCCCCAGCGCCTAAGGGGAAGATGGAGTGGGGGATACAAATATCTGGGGCGTGGCAGCTCTGCTCTGTGCCTGGAATTTCGTTGAGTTCTTTGCACACACATCTCATTTAATCATCACAACCACCCTCCTATCATTCCCATTTTAAAATTAGAGCCGTCAGGGAATCCCCTGGCAGTTCAGTGGTTAGGACTCAGCGCTTTCACTGCTGTGGCCGGGGTTCAATCTCTGGTAGGGGAACTAAGATCCCACAAGCCACTAAATAAACAAACAAACAAACAAATAAATAAATAAATAAAATTAGAGCTATCGGACATTTTGGAGGGATTCCCATAAGGCATTGCAGAGAGAGAGAAGCAAAATGAAAAAATGTAGTCTAGAAGATTCCATTTTTTGAAAACATTGACCAGCTCTCCTCCCCACTCCCTGAACATGCAGCTATGTGTACCTACATATACAGGTCTGCATAGGATTATATCCGATATAGGAACAGAGAAGAATATAGAAGGCTGGCACTAGGTTGTCATAGGGGATACCTAGACTGGGGTAGAGGGCAGGGATGGGGTGTGGGGCTTGTGACATGGGAGGAAAGTTGTCCTCAGAAAAAATTAATATCTGGGGTCCATTACTAAGAAATGATATATGTAAGCCAAATATGAAAGGATGGTCATCAAAATGTTGATGGCGGTTCTCTCAAAGTGGTAGAATTTCAGGTGACTTCCCTCTCTTGTTCATACTTTTATAAGCTCAAATTCTTTTTTTTTTTTAATTTTTTTTAAAGGAACTCTTTTTATTTATTTATGTATTTATTTATGGCTGTTTTGGGTCTTCGTTTCTCTGCGAGGGCTTTCTCTAGTTGCAGCGAGTGGGGGCCACTCTTCATCGCGGTGCGCGGGCCTCTCACTATCGTGGCCTCTCTTGTTGCGGAGCACAGGCTCCAGACACGCAGGCTCAGTAGTTGTGGCTCAAGTGCCTAGTTGCTCCGCAGCATGTGGGATCTTCCCAGACCAGGGCTCGAACCTGTGTCCCCTGCATTGGCAGGCAGATTCTCAACCACTGCGCCACCAGGGAAGCCCTATAAGCTCAAATTCTTAATAAGAAGCATGTATTATTTATGAGCACGTGTTATTCATGTAGTCAGAAAAAATAAAGATATTTTTAATGTGGAAAAAATAAATACACTCTGGAGGGGTATCGTGCAGCTTTGACAGAAAAAGGAAGTGGAGCAAGCACTTCCTCTAGTTCCCACGGTGGGGGATTGGCCTGATGTGTAGAATCAGAGCATGGAAGGCAAAGAAACTTGTCCAAGGTCACCCAGCAGGTAACTAGATGAGCCCACTCTCCCCAGGCCAACAGGGGCTGAGCAGGTGGGAAATCACTGGGGAAGCACCGAGCAGCATCAGGGAGGCCTCTGCCAGGTCCTCTGCCCCATTATTCATCCCAGGCCAGGCCCGGCAGGGCGAGGGAAGAGTGAGGGGACTGGCAGGAGGGAGCAGGAAGGAGGAAAGAGGATGCAGGAGAGGCTGAGTCCCAGCTACACCCCCCCAGCCCAGGCCCTTACTCAGGAAACCCCACCCCAGGACCGGACACCCTGGGTCAGTCGAGCTGAGCCAAAGAGACCGGACATCTTGCCCCTCCCAGAGCACCTGCAGATTAATAGGAAACAAAGGAATGACTCTCTGGCGGCAGAATTCCAGCTAAGCTTGGAAGAAGCTGGAGGGAGGGAGAGGGAGGCAGGGAGTGCTCTGAAGTTGAAGTCTTGGACTCCCATCACTCCTTTATCTAACAAACATTTATCTGTGCCCACCATGCCAGGCCTGGGGGCATGCTGACACACATCCTATCTGTCCCCTTGGCAGGAGAAGTCTTGGGGTAGCTTTTCCTTCCTTTTCACTCACGGAGAGGGGGGCTAACTGATGGGATCTGCCCAGAACTTGGGCCAGTTCCCTCCCATCATTCAGGGGTGCCAAGACAGCCTGAATGTTTCCACAACAAATCCGGCGTCCCTGACAGCTCTCTTGCTCTGAGCCAGATGTACCCACCCAATTCCAGATGTGGGGAGAACTGAGGCTGGGGGGAAGGGTTGGGCCAGCCTCAACCACCAGGGGAGGGCTGGGAATTGCAACCGTCAAGCCCCAAGTATTCAGATTTGGCAACTACAAGACCCCAGGCTCCAGCTACCCTTGCATGGTTTCCATTTTAGCGTCCCAGGCACAGCACGGTGGGTGTCATTACTGGCCTTTACAGAGGCAGAAGCTGAAACTCAGAGATGTTAAGCAACTTTGCTGAGGTCACCCAGCTAGTAAGAGGAAGAGTGGGCACTACTACGTAGCTGGGTCCCAGTGGCTCCGATGCAGTGGTCCGTGTCAACCTCTGTGAACTGCTTGGGGAGCAGGAGAGAAATAGGCTCCCACCTGGGCTGGGGCCACCGGGTCCCCAGGCTTCCTTCATTTAAGTCCTACCTCTTGGTTGGCCCCCTCTCTCAATTTGCAAGTGTCCAGAGATGTGAGAATGAGCTCTCCATCAGGACAAGGCTCTAGGGGCCTGGGACGGGGGGGGGCTTCCTGCAGCTTTGGGAGGAGCAGATGGGAGACATCCCAGCTCTGTGGGCTTGCTCTGGAAGGAGCCCAGGGCCTCCTTTAGAGAAAATGACTTCCTGGATGCAGAACCCCTCCTGTCACAAGAAATACTAGGCCGCTCTCCACCAGGAGTGTTCAAAAAGCAGGCCTCTGACCTTGAACCCATCTCTACCTGGAACTCACCCTAACCTTGGGAAGACAACTTTCCTCTCTGGGCCTCACCTTCCTCGTCTATGAAATGGGATGACAATAAAGCCATTACCAGGGGGCTACTGGAGACCCTACTGCCATACTGCAAGCGAGAGAGAGGGCCGATGTACAAAGACAGGGTTAGCGGGTCACTTGTCAGCCCCGATATTTATTCAGCCAATAGCTGTAGGGCCTTCCTCAAGCATTTTGGTTCTCCGGGGACAGTGTTCCAAACAAGACCAAAAATGAACAGCCCCCGAGCAGAGGGGTCCGCCTCCGCCTGCCGGCCAGGACTTAGCCTGCCTTCGTAGAGTCCCCCTCGCTGGCAACGGGGTCTCCCAGCGTCGCTGTGCGGAGCGGCGCTCGGCTCCGCGGCCACTAGGTGGCGCGCTCTCTCCCTCTACTGCCCCTCGTCCCGGAGGGTTCCCGGCGCGCACCCGGGTCTCCAGAGCGTCTCCTGCTCCCCCAAGGAGCCGCACGTTGACGTACCAGGTGAGGATTGTCTGCGGGATCTTCTTCTCTTGGGGGGCTCTGGTCTTACAACCCGACAGTGGGGGGAAAGGGAGAGATCCTGGACCCTGCCCGGGTATCCAAACTCAGGGAGGAGCCTCCCCCGTGCTTTCCGGCCTGGGCGATGTCCGAGTGTCCGCTCGGCTCAGGGCCAGAGCTCCGGCGTGCAGCCCCCGCCCCTGGCTCCCGTGGGTCCGGCTCCTCAGCCCCAGCTCGGGTTCCAGCGCCGACCCCTCCCAGCCCTCTGCCCGAGTGCAGCCCAGCGCAGTCCGGATCCGTTTCAGGACACTCGCGGCCACGGCTAAAGATAGGAGGACACCTCACCATCGACTAAAAATACGACCCTGAGCCCGGGCGGGGATGGCGGCGGGAGGGCACTCCCGGGTCCTGGGGTAGGGGGCGGGGGCTCTGGCGCAGTGTGGAGGGCTGGACCGGGAGTTCAGGTTCGGGATGCGCGGCGCCCCGCAGGCCGAGGGGGAAGCGGGCGTGGCCGCCGGGACCAAGGCGCGGGCGGGAAACATGGTGCAGCCCGAGGCACCCGGGAAAGGATCTACGTGGAGGTGAGTCGGGGACCGGGGCGCGAGCTGGGATGCGGCGCCTCAAGGATGGGCCTCCCTAGGAGCCGCGGTCGGGCCGCAGAGTCCCGGCCTGAACTCACCTTGAGCGCGTTCAAGCGACTGACCGGCGGGCGGCGAAAGCTCAGGAGCTGGACCGCGCGACGATGGGACAGACCTGGGCTGTGAACTTACAGTGCTGACAGTGGCCCCTAAAGCCCCGCCTCCTGCCGCGGAGCCAATGCCGGGACCGCCCCAACTAGGCCCCGCCCACAGCCTCGCCCTACTCCCTGGCCCGCCTGGGATCCCCCTTTGGAGGCGCAGCGCGGGGGTCCAGCAGCCGCGCGGGCCCGGGGGTCCAGTCCAAGCTCGGGCGGCTGCGGCCCAGGCGGCGTCGGGTGCCCGGGCTGGACTCCGCGGACTCCGGCTGTGCCCGTCGGAACCAAAACTCTCGGTTCTAGGAGGGCCGGGTCCGGGGAGGCGCCCGCACAAGTGTATTCAGTGACTACTAAGGAAATGAATGAGGCCTTAGAAGCGTCTATGTTAAAATATTACAGACTTCCGAGAGCTTTCAGGAGTTTGCCGCCCCTTAGAATAAAGGGCATTGAGGGTGTGTGCGGGCGGAGTGGCCGGACCATGCCCGTATTTGCTGTCAGGCTAAGTGGCTTCCGGGGTTGGGGTGGGACCCGTACTTAGACTCATTCCAACATTAGTTGATTGGCTGGTTGGTTGGTTCATTCATTCTTTCATTCATTCAGTACGAGCAACATTTACTGAAGGGCAGGCCCTACACAGGAGCTGGAGATAGACTAAAGGGAACTCTGCCCTTGCTCCTTTCAGTGATTCAGCAGATAATTTTGCATCTATAGGTGCCAGGCGCTGTTCTTGTCGCTGGGGATGCAGCCCCCTCCGGACTGGGACCTACTGTCCAATGAAGGGAAATGGAGGAAACCCAAGTCCCCAAGTAGACTGTGATACCCGTCTGAGGGAGCAAGTGCTAAGAAGAGTGGGGCAAAGGAAGGGTGGATGGTAATGAGGTGAGGGGACCTTGCTTTCTGGAGGGTGACAGCTGTGACCGTACAATGTGACCAGGATGATGAAAGCTTCCATACTGTAAATGTGGGAGGGACTCTTAGGGAGAGGGGTTCAGGAAGGCATCCTGAGGGAGGGAAGGATGGGGAGAAGGGGAGTGGAGTAGGCAAATGGCCCCTCCCTAAAGATGTCCATGTCCTAGTCTCTGGAACCTGTGAATATATTTCGTTACACAGCAAAGAATAATTAAGGTTGCCAATGGAATTACAGTTACTAATCAACTGACTTTAAAATAGAGAGATTATCCTGAATTATCCGGGTGGGCCCAATGTAATCATGATGGTCCTTAAAAGTGGAAGAGGGAGACAGGAGAGTCAGAGAAAGAGATGTGATGACACAGAAATGCTGTGTTGCTGCTTTGGAAGATGGAGGAAGGGGCCACAGACAAAAGCATGTGGGTGGCCTCTAGAAGCTGGAAAAGTCAAGGAAACAGATTCTCCCCCAGAACCTCCAGAAGGAACACGGCCCAGCTGACTGCTTGATTTTAGACCCATGTTGGACTTCAAACCAACAGAACCGTAAGTTAATAAATTTGTGTTGTTTTAAGCCCCCAAGTTTGTGTTGGTTTGTTACAGCAGCAACAGAAAACTAATACGGGGAAGTTTCAGGTTTTAACCTTGAGCCTTCCAGGCCCCTCCTTTAACTCCCCAGGGAGCATCAGTCAGGTGGATTCTGCCAGGACTGGCCTGGTGGCTCAGAGGAAAACTGAGGCCTGGACAGTGGAGGAATGGGGCCCTGGGCCAAATTGTCGTGTGTGTGGATAAGTATTGTACCTCTCTCCCTTCCTGCCACCCAGGCTCTGCCAAGAATCCACCCACCCAGGCTTGCCTGTGCCCCTTACCAAGTGCCTCTTGCCCCTGAGCTCCTCAAATCCTCTGAGAGCCCAGCAAGGTGGGCAGAGCCAGCATCACTATCCCCCTTTACAGAAATGGAAACCGAAGCTCGGGCCCTGACAGTGATCTACTTAGACTGCAAGTGGCAAGACATGCTGGCTCTGGGCCCTCGTCCCCACTCAGTCTTCTCACCCAGCCATTGTCACCCCCCACCCCGCCTTCCTTCCCACACACAGCCAGGTAGGGGGACAGCTAGGTGCCAGGCCCTGAGCACTGCTTCTGAGCCACAGACCCAGGTTCTGAGCTGGCTGTGCTGCTGACTTGCTCTGTGGCCACAGACGAAGAAAGGACAGTCCCTTTCTGAGCCTTCTTGCCTGTAAAATGGGAGTTACATGAGTCCCAAGCAAGAGAAGGGACTTGCGAGTGTATTGTTGATGGGACCACACAGTCCCCGCAGGCAGGAGTTTCATGGAAACATTATAACAGGAGCTTTGGGGGGTGGTGACTGGCCTTGTCACCTGACCTGGAATGAGTCTAATGATGCATAGATGACTGTAATAATGACCCCCCTGAGCCTGCAAGAGGGAGGCTGAGACGCAGCCCCGCCCATCAGCTGAGCGTCCTCCATTGGAGGAAGGGGCTCGGGGAAGGTCAGGAGCTCCATTCAGGGCTGGTGGCAAAACAAAGTTACAGAGGTGAAAGCTTGCAGAGGCAAAGACCCTCATCCAAGGTCACTCAAAGCCAGGAACGAACTCCAGAGCCCTTTGGAGAGGTTCTGGGGTGTGTGTGTGTGTGTGTGTGTGTGTGTGTGTGTGTGTGTGTGCAGTTGGGGAGCCTTGGGGGATGGATAGAGAGCAGCAGATTTGGCCCCCGAGCCTGACCCAACCCCCGGACCCCTCCCTCAGCGACTAGCCATCCTCCCAACCAGGACCCAAAGCCACAGGAACTGCGCTCTGGGGACTGTTTTAATCCCACCTGGCTGTGACGTGGCTCCGCCCAGTGCCGGCTCCCTGTGCTGCTCTCCTGCCATCAGCCAGAGATACAGCCCCCACAAAGCCCACATCCAAGGCCTGCTTTGTGCCAGGCACTGGGTTCTGTGCTTTGCAAGCACTCAGGTAGGTGGTTCATTCTCCCCATTCACAGATGCGGTCATGTCACTTGGCTGGGGCCTGAGGAATCCCTGGGGATGGGACTGCTGGCAGCTCTCAGCTCTGCTGAATGGACGAGATCTTTGCAGATACGCCCAGTGTTGCCATGGCAGCCCTGCAATTAATGAGCATTTATAAAACAGGATTTCATTGACTAAAACTGGCTTTTTTATGCAACTTCTCAGGCAGTGTGTAAAGGCCCAAGTATGGGTGGTGAGGCCGGGATCCTGAGCCATGGGAGGGCCAGGGTGTCCTGCATTTCTGACCCCGTAGACACTCAGGCCAAGTGCCCCCTGCCCAGCCTGACTGAGGGTCTGCTGCCTCAGCCAGGGCCTGGACTATTCTTGCTGGAAGGACTCCTGGACACCCCGGTGTCTGAGGGGGTAGGACCCTGAGGGACATTCAGGACAGGTTAGAGGCAAGGAAGCCTGGGTGAAGCAATGCCCCAAGGGGCTTCCCTGGAGGTCCAGTGGTTAAGACTCTGTGCCTGCAATGCAGGGAGCATGGGTTCGATCCCTGGTCGGGGAACTAAGATCCCACATGCTGTGCGGCACGGCCAAAAAATCCAAAAAAAAAATGTGATATTCAAATTCCTTCTTCTCAGCCTGGAGCCTCGCCTTGATCCTGAGATAAGCCCAGTCCCCACCCCTCGGCCCCCCAGTCCCACAGCAACTCCCCGCACCCACGGACCTGTAATCACCGCACAGGGACTGACTCAGCCCTTCCTTCCCCGCCCAGCCTCTTCTTCCTGAAAATCACCCACGTCAGCAGCCCCAGCCCCCAAAGGCCCTGGGGGATAGAGTCCGAGGCCCCCTTTTCCGAGGTTAGCCTGGAAGAACGGAGGAACTGAGCCAGAGGGGTAGGACTCCCAGGCCGGACCCAGCTCTCCTCGGCCCCACCCACCCAGGGACCTAGGGAGGCAGGTGGGATGAGGGGACCAGGAGTCTGGGGACAGGTCTGAGAGCAGGGAGTCAAAAGGAAAGGGTGGTGATACTCTTGGGGGCGTCTAGGGGGCAGTGCGAGGAGACAAGGTCTCTGGAAGGGCCTCAGCCCCCGCCACCCCGATCCCCTGCCACAGGGAGACAGGGAGCAGGGCAGGAGCTCCGTCCACCCCTAGGAAGCCTCCTCCACACAGCCTGAGCTCAGCCTGCAGGGCTCCGTGGCCTGAGCCAACCCCAGGCCTGGTTTGGATTTTTCCTTGATTGTTTCTTGTTTCCTTCCTCCCCTGGGCTCCTGCCAACTCCAGCCCTGCCCTCCTCGCTTTTCACTTGCCTTCATAGAACTCTGACCTGGCAGAGGCTGGGATTCGAGATGAGAGTCCCTTCGAAGCTACCGCCAGCTTCTGCCTCTGCCTTGGACCCCTCCTTGGGAGTTGGGTGGCAGGGCCTTACTGGGGGACTTTCCTTTGGGTCCAGATTTTTGGCCCCAGGCCCAGGGCCATGGGGGTTTCCGGAGTGGTGACAGCCCTGTCCCAGCAGGGACTGAGGCACTTCCTCCCAGAGGCCTCTGGGAACATCCAAGCCACATGGCTGTCTTTTGGCCTGGGGAACACAGAGCTAGCAGGCATTGTTTTCAACACTTCCCACCCCTTCAAGGCACCTTGTCATTATTCATTTTGAAAACTCATTTGCATCTACCTTGTGCCTAGAGCTGTACTGACTGGAGAAGACACAGAGGGTCAAGGCTGGGCCCAGCCCTCAGAGAACAGATACCCTGAGTAAAACAAATAACCAATTCTAAAACCGCACATTCTGTGCCATAATGGAGGTCCTTGAAAGTTCTGATTTACCTCTTTCTATCCCAGGCAGCACAGACGAGGCTCAGTGAGCGACTATGGATTGAGTGAAGAACCAAAAAGAACAGCGGTAAGAAGGATTTGTTCTGCTAGAGGTGGGGAAACAGATGGAAGAGTTAGGAAGGCTTCAAGAGGAGATGATATTTGAGCAGGGTATTAATGGATGAGTGGGAATTTGCCAGGCAGAGAAAGGAAAGGATATTTCAGGGGGAGCAGGGAGAGGCAAAGGCAAAGGCCAGAAGGAGTGCAAGTAGATGCATGGTGTGAGCGGGAAACAAGATAGATGTGTCCAGCAGACCATGGCATAGGAGAGGGGGAAAGACCAGAAGGGTAGCTGGCGAGCACCATTATCCTTGCCCAGCTCCCATTCCTCTTATTCTGCTGACCACCCCTCAATTTTCCAGAGTCTCCAGTATGATTGACCTTGCCTCCAAGCTCTAAAAGTGGGTCTGAGGCCCCAGCCTACCCAATCTGAGTCATAGGGATGGTTTAGGGATGGGCATGTCAGCAGTGGGCTTCAGCCTGGGAACTTGTGGTGACTATTAGGGTGACAGATGCCAAGATGTCAACTCAGGGCTGTCAACTCACGGAAGAGCTTGTCCAAGAATAAAGCCAGCACAGAGGAAAGCAGAGCCAAGAGAATGACTCTCAATAACATTGTTCGTGCTTCTGGATCCAGCCATGCCTGAATCAGACATCCATTATATGAACCAACAACTTACAATTTTTGTTTAGTCCTGTTGGAATTGGGTTTCTGTCACTTGCCCATTAAAGAATAATTAAAAGCAGACAATAGCTCACGATAGCTGCCGAATGCTGTGGGAGGGAATCAAGGATCTGTGCAGAAGTGCGACATGACCAGAATTGCATTTTTTAAATTTAAACTATCTTTTTGACATGGTAATGCTTTCGTGTGGTTCACAATTTAGAAATCACAGCAGGCTGAAGAGCCCACGCGCCACATCAAAAGATCCCGCATGTCGTGACGAAGATCCCGTGTGCTGCAACTAAAGACCCGAAGCTGCCAAATAAATAAATAAATAAAAATATAAAAGAAGAAATCACAAGAGGCAAAACGTCTCCCTCTTACCCCTGTTCCCCAGGCACCAGTTCTCCTCTCCACAAACAACCAGCGTTATCAGTTTCTTGTAAACACTTCCAGAGATACTCTTTGCACACGCAAGCAAAGCCCCGTCCATTTTTTTTTACACAAATGGCAATATTTAGACAAGTAGAGCCCCAAAGTACAGCAGACCTTGGTGGGAGCAGGGGGAGGACAGGCCCCACTGCCGGGGGCGATGGGGGTGATTCTGCAGGAGCCATGGGAAGCCACAATTTATTGAGCCTCTGCTATTCACATTGTCCGGCACCTTCCTTTCTTCAGTTGACATTATATCTATGACCATTTCATGTCAGTTCATAGAGTATATCGTCAGTTTCATTTTCTCACAGCTGCATAGTATTTCACATGGGGTGTACCATAATTTATGCAAATTATGGCCTCTCCAGCCTCAAGCCCCCTCTCCACTCCCTCTGTTCTGGACAAGGGCCTTTCAGCCCATCAGCCACCCCCATGGCCTCAGTTGATGGACGTTTAGGTTGTCCCCAGCCCTTTCCTGTGACAAGCAGTGCTGCCATCTTGCACAGATGCTGTTACACACTCGTGTGAGCACAGCTGAAGAATAAGTTCATAGGGACTTGGGGGTCACAGGACACTCTCTGTTGTCATTTGGTCAGCTCTGTCCACTTGTCTTTCTCAGGTGATGTGCCAGGTCCAGGCCCCCATAGGGACCACAGGGCCCATTTCTACTCAGCCTCACTGGCAACTGGTTCTCAGCCTTTTTGATTTGTGTCACTCTGGTAGGTAAACACTAACTAAAGACAAAGGAGCCTCAGTGTGGTTTTAATCTGTGTTTCTCTTATAAGTGAGTTTGGCCATTTTTCATAGGCTTCAGGGCCATTTCTATTTCCTTTTCCATGAACTGGAAAAGGAAATAGAGAATTATGCTTAAGAGGATCGATTCAGAGAAGGGGACGTGGAGGGAGGCCTGATTGGAGGCAGGTGCCACTTTGGGGGGGATGGATCAGGAGAGAGACGGAACTTGGCTCTGAGCTGTGGTGTGAAAGACGGCGCTGGAGGTGATGAGGTCGAAAGATTGGAATTTGGTGACAGATGGGTCACAGGGGCCAGGGAGGAAGGACCGGGGTCAGGCCGGTCCAGCGTGGTGACTTGGGTGATGAGAGGGGGCAGGGAGGAAAGGGAGGACAGTGGGGCCACCAAGGGAGATGGAGGATCCCAGCAGGGGCCCTGCCCACTCTCCATCCCACATCGTGACTGATGCAAAACACCAACCTGACGGCCACACGCCCCTGCTCACATGCTTCAGTGGCCACAAACCCTGGTCAGGGACCCTGCTGGCCTCCAGCCTCAAGCCATCTCTCGGCTCCCTCTTCTCCGGCCTTGAGCACACCCAGCCTCCAGGACGGGCTCCTTACACGGCTCTTCCCTTCACCGGCCGCCTCCTGCGATTCCTGCAGGTCTCAGCCATGGTATCTCCCCTCGGGGAACCATTCCGGACCCCAATCGATGTCGAGTTCCCTCGGAGAAACTCCGGACCACGGTCCTCTCTGAGCCATCGTCATCTGATTCGTGTCCATCCCCCACTGGGCTGTAACAACTGTTGCCTCCCCAGAGTGGATGCCAATGAATGTGAATGAATGAACAGATGAATGGATGAAGGGCAGGGTACCGTGGGTAGCAAACAGGGGGCAAATACGAGACGAGGGTTTAGGAAGTAAAAGAGCCTGCAGTTTAGACTTCCCTGGTGGTGCAGTGATTAAGAATCTGCCTGCCAGTGCAGAAGACAAGGGTTCCAGCCCTGGTCTGGGAAGATCCCACATGCCGTGGAGCAACTAAGCCTGGGCACCACAACTACTGAGCCTGCGCTCTAGAGAGCGAGAGCCACAACTACTGAGCCCACGTGCCACAACTACTGAAGCCCGTGCGCCTAGAGCCCGTGCTCCGCAACAAGAGAAATCCCCGCTTGCCGCAACTAGAGAAAGCCCGCACGCAGCAACAAAGACCCAATGCAGCCAAAAAAAAAAAAGACCCTGGAGTGGGCTACCTCTGTTTGAGGCACAGGGACTCTCGGTGCTTCCCTGGCGCCCCCTCTAGGTGGAGCAGGAATTCTGTCCATTTGGTGGTACATGTCTGCATTCCGATGCTGAGAAGAGATCCCCACACAGAGCCGGCACCCCTGCAAGTGTCTGCGAACAGGAGCAGGCGTGGGAACAGGCGTGGGAACTGATGCGCTGGGGCCCAGGTGGACGTTTCATGACAAGGCATCCCTTCGGCAGGTATCTCTTGTGGGCCTACTGTGCGCCAGGCACTCTACAGGGACGGGACAGGGTCCCTGCCCTCAGGGAGCAGGCATCGTGGAGCAGAGGGGCAAGAGAGTTGTGTGTATACACACACACATTTTTTTCTTTCTTTTAAAATAATCCATGCACATGGCAAAAGATGTCAAACAGGATGTGAGAATGGACACGACAAATAATCCTCCGAGCCCTGACCCCTGGTTCTCCAACACCCATCCCCAGAGGTAAACCACTGTGATTGGAAATAATCTAAGGTCAGAACATTTGGGGTTTCTTTGTTCATTTATTTTGTTTTTAATTTATTTTACTGAAGTATAGTTAATTTACAATGTTGTGTTAGTTTCTGGTGTACAACAAAGCAATTCAGTTATATATATATATAAAAAATGGTTTGCATCTGCTAATCTCAAACTCCCAATCCATCCCTCCCCCACCCCCCTTCCCCTTGGCAACCACAAGTCTGTCCTCTATGTCTGTGAGTCTGTTTCTGTTTCGTAGATAAGTTCATTTGCATCATGTTTTAGATTCCACATATAAGTGACATCGTATGGTGTTTGTCTTTCTCTGTCTGACTTACTTCACTTAGTATGATAATCTCTAGGTCCATCCATGTTGCTGCAAATGGCATTATTTCATTCTTTTTTATGGCTGAGTAATATTCCATAATGTATATATATATATACCACACCTTCTTCATCCATTCATCTGTCGATGGACATTTAGGTTGTTTCCATGTCTTGGCTATTGTAAATAGTGCCGCTATGAGCATAGGGGTGCATGTATCTTTTTGAATTATAGGTTTGTCCAGATATATGCCCAGGAGTGGGATTGCTGGGTCATATGGTAGTTCTATTTTTAGTAACCTCCATACTGTTCTCCATAGTGGCTGCACCAACTTACATTCCCACCAACAGTGTACGAGGGTTTCCTTTTTTTCACACCCTCTCCAGCATTTGTTATTTGTAGACTTTTTAATGATGGCCATTCTGACCGGTGTGAGGTGATACCTTATTGTAGTTTTGATTTGCATTTCTCTAATAATTAGCGATGTGGAGCATCTTTTCATGCGCCTGTTGGCCACCTGTATGTCTTCTTTGGAGAAATGTCTATTTAGGTCTTCTGCCCCTTTCTTGATTGGGTTGTTTGTTTCTTTGTTATTGAGTTGTTTGAGCCATTTGTATATTTTGGAAGTTAGGCTAAGAAGAAGAACATTTGAAGAGGACTCCAGATCTCACGGGAAAGTGGGCCCCGGGAGCAGCCCCCCAGGACTCAGGCATGGCTCAGCCTTCCAGACACTGGCCCAGGGCTCCTCCAGCTCCCGGAGCAGAGAGGGGCTGCTACGGGACTGCCTCTGCCCGCCCTGCTCTCCCTCTTTCCTGGGGGTAGGGCCTGCTGACTCAGCCCTGCAGGCCTTCAGTTCTCTGTCTCAGTGAGAAATGCTCAGACCCTGGGGGGATCTGGGAGCCACGGGAGCCAGCAGGAGAGATGGGGCTCTGCGGGGCCCCGCCAGGCTCGGGGCAGATGCCCAGGCTCTCAGGGAGCAGTGCACGGGGACAGGGGTCAGCGGGGTCACGGACCAGCAGCTGTCCCCAAGACCCCCGAGGGGCCCTGGGGCCCGGCAGCTGCATGGCTCTCAGCTGTTAGGCGGGCTCCCTGCTGACAGGAGAAGGAGGGTGGGTCTGGGTGGGGAGTCTGGAGCTGGCCGTGGGCCCAGTGGGTCCCAGAGCAGACCAGCCCTGAGGCCCATGGGGCCCTGGCATTTCCAGGGCAGACCCAGAGGGAGCAGACATAGATAGGCCTGGCCGCTCAGGGAAAGAAGATCTAGAATGATGAGGCCAGGGTGACAGAGGGGCCCAAATGCCTGAGCGTGGGTGATTAAGTCCCACCCCAGCGACCTCCGGACTCTGAGGCCAGGCACGTAAGCTCCCCCTCTGGTCTCCCCTCTCCTCGGCCAGACTCCCAGTGCTCTGGGTTCTCTTGAGCGTAATGAGTTCTACGCAGGCAACCCCTGGATCAACGCCTCCAATCCTCACGCCTCACCAGAGCCCGGATCTGTCATCCCTGATGTCCTGGGAGGCTGGGCCCATCTGGGTGCCCCCTTCATCCCGACCTGCCCCAACAGACCCAGGCATCCCCTCCTCCCACATGCTCCCAGGCACCTGGGTTGCTCCCTGGGACTCCTCTGAAGTCTGTCCTTGCTGGGTGGCCAAGTTGGTCAGTATGGCACAGAGGAGAGACAAGGGATTGGAGTTCAAATCCCAGCCCCATTGCTTACTTCGGCCGGTGATCTTGAACCTCTTGGAGGCTGCCAGAGGGTTAGATGTGATCTCTGTGTCAAAGTACACACAGTTGGTCCTCAGAAATGGTAATTCCCTTTCCTTCCTACCCAAGCTGTGTTTTCTCCTCAACTTAAACTTAAGAAAAAAAAAG